TATTATTTTCTAAAATTATTCAAACTTTGTTATTGTTAATCCCTGAACTGCTTGTATTTGTTTACCAATGAATTGCAAAAATGTATAGAAACTCAATAGACATTTGATTCAATTTTGGCAAGGATTTCGTGCAAATTCTGTTTGTTTTTAAATTGATAAAGTTTTGACAAGCGGAAAGCACAAAACTTTCAAGAGGCCTCGAGAGAAAATATATAAAATTGGATTAAAATATTGATTTTTGTAATATATTATCGTTTTCTGTAATACCTAAATTTTTGTCTTTTTTTCAGTTTCAGTTTTCTGTAATAAATCCTTGTTTTCTGTGTTACATTCTTGTTTTCTGTAATAAATCCTTGTTTTCTGTAATAAATCCTTGAGTTCTGTAATAAATCCTTAATTTCTTTAATATAAATCCTTGTTTTCTGTAATAAATCTGTGTTTTCTGTAATAAATCATTATTTTCTGTAATAAATCCTTGATTTCTGTGTTAAAACCTGGATGTTTGTAACAAATTCATGAGTTTTACGTACATCCTTTTTTTCTGTAATAAATCCTTTATATCTGTAATAAATCCTTTCTTTTCTGTAATAAAGCCTTGTTTTCTGTAATAAATCGTTAATTTCTTTAATAAATCCTTGTTTTCTGTAATAAATCCTTGTTTTCTGTAATAAATCCTTGTTTTCTGTAAAAAATCATTGTTTTCTGTAATAAATAATTGATTTCTGTAATAAATCTTTGAGTTCTGTAATAAATCCTTAATTTCTTTAAACAATCCTTGTTTTCTGTAATAAATCCTTGTTTTCTGTAATGAATCCTTGTTTTCTGTAATAATACCTGGTTTTCTGTAATAATACCTGGTTTTCTTTAATAAATCCTTGTTTTCTGTAACAAATCTTTGTTTTCTGTAATAAATCCTTGTTTTCTGTAATGAATCCTTGTTTTCTGTAAAAAATCATTGTTTTCTGTAATAAATCATTGTTTTCTGTTATAAATCCTTGTTTTCTGTAATAAATCCTTGTTTTCTGTAATAAATCTTTGTTTTCAGTAATAAATCCTTGTTTTCTGTAATAAATCCATGTTTTCTGTAATAAATCCATGTTTTCTGTAATAAATCTTTGTTTTCTGCAATAAATCCTTGTTTTATGTAATGAATCTTTGTTTTCTGTAATAAATCATTAATTTCTGTAATAATTCATTGATTTCTGCAATAAATCCTTGTTTTCTGTAATAAATCCATGTTTTCTGTATTAAATTTTGTTTCTGTAATAAATCATTGATTTCTGTAATAAATCCTTGAGTTCTGTAAAAAATCCTTAATTTCTGTATTGAATCCTTGTTTTGTGTACTAATTCCTTCTTTTCTGGAATAAATTTTCTACTTCTGTGTAAATCCTTGTTTTCTGTAATAAGTCCTTGTTTTCTGTAATAAATCCTTGTATTCTGTAATAATTCCTTGTTTTCTGTAATTAGTTCTTGCTTTCTGTAATAAATCCTTATATTCTGTAATAAATCCTTGTTTTCTGTAATAAATCTTTGTTTTCTGTAATAAATCCTTGTTTTCTGTAAAAAATCATTGTTTTCTGTAATAAATCATTGTTTTCTGTAATAAATCACTGATTTCTGTAATAAATCCTTGAGTTCTGTAATAAATCCTTAATTTCTTTAATAAATCCTTGTTTTCTGTAATAAATCCTTGTTTTCTGTAAAGAATCCTTGTTTTCTGTAATAAAACCTGGGTTTCTGTAATAAATCCTTGTTTTCTGTAACAAATCTTTGTTTTTTGTAATGAATCCTTGTTTTCTGTAATAAATCCTTGTTTTCTGTAATAAATCCCTGTATTCTGTAATAATTCCTTGTTTTCTGTAATTAGTCCTTGTTTTCTGTAATAAATCTTTGTTTTCTGTAATAAATCATTGTTTTCTGTAATAAATCATTGTTTTCTGTAATAAATCTTTGTTTTCTGTAATAAATCTTTGTTTTCTGTAATAAATTCTTGTTTTCTGTAATAAATCCTCCTTTCTGAAAGAAATTCTTGATTATGGTAATGAATCCTTGATTTCTGGAATAAATCCTTGATTTCTTGTATAAATCCTTGATTTATGTAATGAACCCTTTATTTCTGTTTTAAATTCTTGATTTTTCTTCTAAATCTTTGAATTCTGTTAAAATCCTTTATTTCTGTTTTAAATCCTTGATTTCTATTTTAAATCCTTAATTTCTGTTTTTTATCCTCGATTTCTGTAAAGTATCCAGATTTTGCAAAGCAAAAATGGGTTGACAGATTTTTGAATTCTGTTCAAGGCTCTTTTAAGTTTAATAGTTCAATTGCAAATAACAAAATCCTTATTGGCCTTTCATAATTAAAAGATAGAAGGAGACGACGTTGATTCCACTATTTTCTGGTTCTCACTTTATGGATATTGGATTTAGATTAGATTATATTTCTCAATTAGATTCATGATTCTGTAATATCAACATATTGTGATAAATATGTGAAACATTTATGTATCTTTGATTTTTGTATTTTTTTCTAACAAATCTCTGATTTCTGTGATAATTTGTCATATGTCAGTAATGTATCGATTGCCATTACATTATAGGGTTACTAGTAACATATTAGCTCACTAAATTGTTAAGTTAAATGGGTCTGTTTACACTGCTCAATTACTGTTTCTCATGTCCATTGGATCCAGACTTTTATAGGAATAAGTTGAGTCTAAAAGTCGTCTTCCTTTTTAAGAGTTTTCTAGTTCTCATTGGACATCCTGTTTGGTAAAATAAACGAGAAGTATTTAGTAATTTAGAATTTCTTATTCTGCAGTCCTTTGTATTTGGTATTTTCTCTTGAATTTTGAAAAGTCGTCTTTTTATCTCACTAAATATATACTTATCTAAGTCATCTATGCATAAGCCTATGCAATACATGAATTATATATGTGTATTGTGAATTTAAAAATAAGCAACTTTACATCCCTATGCATTTAAAAAAAGACATAATTCTTCCTGTGCAGGTCTCTTATTAGACCTCTAATGTAAATGTCGTCTGAAATGTAAAAGTTTTTAGAATGAGCTATTACTTTAATTACCTATAGAAGAAGATTCATAAAAAAGTAAGTGAAAAAATGCAAATTAAACTTTCTTTATTGGAACAATTTTTAATTGAGTATTTCACAGATACAGAAGGTATACAGATATAGATCACAAATACAGAAAAGACAACAGATAAAGTTATATATAGAACAACAAACATATCTGTAGGACAACAGATGCAGATATAGGACGACAGAAACAGATATATGACAACAGATACAGATATAAGACAACATATATAGATATAAGACAGCAGAGATAGATATAGGACATCAGATACAAATATTGGACAATAGGTACAGATAAAGGACAGCAGATACAGATATAGGACCACAGATGAAGATATAGGACAACAGATACAGATATAAGACAGATGATTCAAATATAGGACACAAGATACAGATATAGGACAGCAGATACAGATATAGGACCACAAATACAGATATAGTACAACAGATATAAGATTAAAAATACAGATAAAAGACAACAGATACAGATAAAGATCAGCAGATTCAGATATAGAATAACATAAAGAGATATAGGACAGCAGATACAGATATAGGACCACAGATGCAGATATAAAACCACAGAAACAGATAAAGGACCACAGATACAGATATAGGACAACAGATACAGATATAGGACAACAGATGCAGATATAGAACCACAGATACAGATATAGGACCACAGATGCAGATATATGACCACAAAAACAGATCAATGACCACAGATACAGATATAGGACAACAGATACAGATATAGGACAACAGATACAGATATAGGTCAACAGAAACAGAAATAGGACAATCTAATGTAAAATAAACTGCAATTTTTCAGGATGTTTTTTTACCCTCCCTGTAATGTTGTATGCCAAACCAATTTATTCTTTTTATCGGATTCATTTTCTGGTTAAAAATAAAAGAGCCTCTCTGTAATTGCACACGATGCAATCAAATTTTACTGGTATTATTATTTTATTATAAACATATAGTTTTTGCTTGATAAAAGCATTCAATATAAATTGGTATATTTAACACTCAAAAGCATGGAATATTGAAAAACTTAATATTTATTCCATGCAGCAAGTTTTACAGTTTCTGAACGTTTGGTTTTATTCTTTTCTCTTACTTGCAAATATTTAATAAGATTGAAAAGTAAAAAATAAATTTTTTATTTAATCGAGGCCGAACATTTATTCGATACAAGCTATGGTTGGCTGCTTCGAGGACACAGGCCTCCGATTGGTCAGAGGTTATTTAAGCATCCTCGTTTATCATAGAGAGAGAGAGAGAGAGAGAGAGAAAGAGAGAGAGAGAGAGAGATAGAGAGAGAAAGAGAGAAAGAGACTTGTTGCTTCACCTCTAGTTTGTTACCGAGGTTCACAGACTAAGCGTGTAAAATTTCTCCAGAAAAATAATATTCAAATAAACATTATATACAGTTTAAATTAAGAAACAATCAGCAAAATTGAATAAAATATAAAAGATAAGAAAGTTAATTAAGTTTAGAATATACATTGAGATCAAGTTTGCATTCGTGTTTATATATATATTATATTATATTAATATACGTTTAACAATTAAAAAGATGAATAATTAAAGGTAGTTGCATAAAATCTTTATTCTTGGAAACAATAAGCAAAATCAAAAATGCTTTTTACAAAATAAAATTAAGACAATTGAGAAAGAACTAAGATTTTTTTAATATATACCTTTATCTTTTTAAATTTATATTGCATGATAAATAAATGTATCTAAGAAGTAAAAATGATATTACGAATAGTAGCCATCTGTTTTTAGGTGTATACAAAGTAATTATGTTTAAATTAAATAGGATTCATTCTGGTTATTTAGCTGAAACAAACCATGAACAACATTAAAATTGTATTAAAGATCTTATTTTGTTTTCTAGATAAGATGAAAAAGCTGTATATATTGGGTAATACAATACTTCAATAATAAATCAATAAAGAGGAAAATAAATGGTTTGCAAATTGCTACAAAACTCTTTTAACCACTCAGATTTCATAATACCGTTTAATATTTTTTTAGAAAGGAAGACAAAAATAACTCTTTTTGGTTGTAAGGATGCGATGTCATTCGACACTTTTTTATGTGGGCATTGAATGAAAACAGTTCATTCGGTCAAAATTAATCTTAATAAATCCAATACATATGAAAAAAAATTGAAAATAATTGTGATGTGTACTTCTACATTGACCCAAGGTACTAATGCAAGGAAAGTTAATTGCGGTCGAGTATACTCTGCGTACATATTGAAACCAGTTCTCTCTGGACGGAATTTGTAAACAAGAATAGATGCATCAGTGTTCGTCTAGTAACCGAGGATGCTAAAAGCATTTAATTTTGATAATTTTGAAAATGCACATACTAGTTTTCTATGGCCAGAATGTTTCATAGATTATTTTTGTGAAAATGGATTCCATGACAGGCTGTGACATCCGTCTTGTGTTTAGTGTTCCGCCCAAAGACAGTACACTGCAGTACAAGAAATGCGTACACCTCTAAAAATAACTTTCCTTGCATTAGTACCTTGCATTGACCCATTTCACCTCCCTGTAGTAGATTTTTCAATCGGCGAAACTATTCGGTTTCTAACAACATTAAATATAAACTTAAGATTTTGCTAAATGTTGTCTTCGTATGCCACATTTTTCTGGGAACCAGTAACCACTGAACTATCTAATTATCAATCTGTTTTCAGATTATCAGTATCAGCCTTATAGTTTAAACTTCTGAATTAGTTAAAGGAAAAACTCTAGAAAAGTTCATTATTTTTAAATATGGGAAGTTTAAAAATAGAAAACCTCCGGCCTTCATGTTTTTAAGTTGATTAGAGACATTTTCTCGTACAAATATAAACCTTTTAACAAGGTTTGAGTAAAAAGAAGTAAAAACCAACAAAAGTTAAAATCTAGTTTTTGAAATCTAAGTTTAAAACAAAAAATAAAGAAAAGCTTAGATTTAAGATATATAGTTGTACAATTGTACAGTTTACAGTCTATATTTTACAGCTGTGTTTTGCGGAGTAGTCCTGGGGGAAGAACTGTACAGCAAGGAAGAGGAATCCAATCGTACTTCACAAGTCAGGTATACGGTACAGCCATGGTATAGGTGCATATATGTAATCGTGAATAGCTTCACCCTACATAAGGATGTATGAATCATCGACAGACAGTGAGAACCAGAAAACTGTGGAATAGGAAGACGACATTAAAGCGTAACTTAAAAGTATATAATGTTGTTTCAAAGCAAATAGTTTTAGTAGTAACTTATTAGATAACTTATGAAGTAAAATGAGTCAGATTCCACGTCAAAATTGCTGTGTCTGACAAGTTGGATAATCTAAAGCCAAATCTTGAGTCTGACAGTCGTCCTACTTTTCTAGACTTTTCTGGTTCTACCTGTGCAAGGTTGCTGATTTATTAATAAACATCTCAGAAACCCTCAAAAAAAAAACATTCGAAAATGCGCTAAAAAATATTTTTCCTCAAAAGCTAAAATAAAACTGTCCCAGCCTTTCTTTTACATTGAATTGTGAATCTGACATTTAGAAGAGTTGGGAAATATTGATTTAATAAAATATGCAACACCGTGGTAAATATACAGGGTTAACCACAAAGAATACGACCGTGAAGACGACTGGAAACTATTAAGATATGGCGATTCCAAGGTTAAATTAAGTCTTCTGTCTTGAATTTAGTCTTTCAAATGCTTATTTAATGATTTATGATTTGGAAAGAAAGAAACAAGGGAATAATGAATATGATGAAACAAACAGTGTTAATTCCATAAAGTCGTCTCTGAAGTCTCATCCTTTCTGGGACACCCTGTATATACAGAATAGACTGTACAGAGTGTACCAATAAACATTGGAATTTTTTGTGTAATGCTTCACTTAAAAAACAGTTATTTTAACGAAAACTGATTATCTTTGGATTTCAAAAATGTATCTTTCACTTTTGTCATTTATTATCTTGTAAGGGAAGGGCTGCTAAAAATGAGCTGTTGCTTAGAATTGGACCATGTAGCCATAGTTTTTTTTTCATTCTGTTGCTTTCTTACCCATACATTTTATATTTGTCTAAAATAATTTCTCTGAACTGCTAAAAATGTGTTTATATTATAAGTAACAGTACTAGTGCACACATACAAGTACTATTTCTAGCATTTACTTTAGGCATATATGTTAAATATACATATAACATATAAAGGAAAATCTATACAGACAATATCAATCAGTTTTCTGACATTTGCTTTATTAAAACACGATACATCTTAATTCTGATAAAATATATAAAACAATATAATACAGTATAGGGAGGAAAATCAGACGGATCGATTTACTTATATATATATATGAATAAGAGAAGACGTAAGAAGAGGGGGACAGAGTTTTTAGAATCTAAATGTGGTGTTTAAGAGCTGCTTATGCACTGGATTTATTGTAAATACAGGGTTACCCACAAAAAATGTGACTTTTGTGATAACTTTTTGACAATTTATGTGTATGAGACAAAGCAAATTGTCAGTAAAGGGACTGATGGCGCAATTTCAACCTTCCCAATTCACAACAGTTCACTTTAAACCTTTGACTATTTAATATTAATAAGTGGCAGAATATAATATTCATACTCGAATTTTTAAAACCGCGTTAAAGAGTATTCTAAATTTTCCATGACAAATTGTGATATCTGATGCGTTGAGTTCATGGCTTCTTACTAAACATTTAAGAGAAATATACACTGAGTTCTTTATCCTCGACAATCAATCAAAGGTTTAAAGGGTACCTTTGTGAATCAGGGTCGTCCCTCTTTAAATGGAAGGTCACTTGACATTACGTTTACAGTCCTTTTGAAGGAATTCAATATCTTTCTTTTAAAAAACTATAGCAGCTGAAATGTTAAAAAGGTTATGCTTTAATAATATATTGTTAAGGAATGTATCTGACAGTAAACCAGCTATTTACAGAGGAAAAGTTAAAAGTGATCTTCATGATTATGGTATAGTCAGTGAACAATATCCTGCTTATCCTCCTCCTCTAGACAATGATGAAGGACGGGTCCGTGTACCTGATAACTATGTCGAGGGTGGACTGCCTATCCTATCTGATGCTGTGTTCTCATTGATCATCATGATCTACGTGTCCGGGGCATTCTTTTTCGTATTCTTCTTATTCTGCTGGAAGAGAGGACTCCCACAGGTATTATTCTCTCAGTGTTTCCAGGTATTACAACATCATAGTTCGTCTCTCCCACTCAACATCAGAGTTGGTCTCTCATCCCACTCAACATCATAGTTGGTCTCTCATCCCACTCAATATTATAGTTCGTCTCTCATCCCACTCAACATAAAAGTTCGTCTCTCATGCCACTCAACATGATAGTTCGTCTCTCCTCCCACTCAACATGATAGTTCGTTTCTCCTCCCACTCAACATGATAGTTCGTCTCTCCTCCCACTCAACATGATAGTTCGTCTCTCATCCCACTCAACATGATTGTTCGTCTCTCATCCCACTCAACATGAAAGTTCGTCTCTCCTCCCACTCAACATGATAGTTTGTCTCTCATCCCACTTAATATGATAATTTGCCTCTCAATATGTCCAACGAAATATGATAGTTTGTCTCTAAGTGTGTCCCACGAGACATAATAGTTTTTCTCTCAGTGTGACCCACGAAAAATGATAGTTTGTCTTTCAGTGTTTCCTACAAAACATGACAGTTTGTATCTCAGTGTGTCCCACTGAACATGATAGTTTGTATCTCAGTGTGTCCTACAAAACATGATAGTTTGTATCTCAGTGTGTCCCATAAAACGTGATAATTTTTCTCTCAGTGTGTCCCATGAAACATAATAGTTTGTCTATCATTGTGTCCCACTGAACATGATATTTTGTCTCTTAGTGTGTCCCACAAAACATGATAGTTGTTTTCTCAGTGTGTCCCACAAAACATGATAGTTTGTCTCTGTAGCTAAATTTTTAAAAAGTTAATAACCGTTTATCATTTTTTTGAAACACAAACCCGCCGTTTGTCTGTCCTCCACCCTACCCTATGCATTAAAAAAATTAAGCAAAATTCAAAGAAGTGAAGAAGTTTAGCGTTCTAATGTCAGACATTTTTATGGTATTTAGAAAAAAACACAGTAAGGGGGGGGGGGTTGGAAAACACCCCCCAATCTTGACAGGGTTAACGTGATAGGTCTAACAGCATGTCCCAAGAAACATAATAGTTTGTATCTCAGTGTGTTTCACTTAACATGATAGTTTGTCTCTCAGTGTGTTTCACTTAACATAATAGTGTGTCTCTCTGTGTGTTTCACTTAACATAATAGTTTGTCTCTCAGTGTGTTTCACTTAACATGATAGTTTGTCTCTCAGTGTGTTTCACTTAACATAATAGTTTGTCTTTCAGTGTGTTTCACTTAACATAATAGTTTGTCTCTCAGTGTTTTTCACTTAACATGATAGTTTGTCTCTCAGTGTGTTTCCCTTAACATGATAGTTTGTCTCTCAGTGTGTTTCACTTAACATAATAGTTTGTCTCTCAGTGTGTTTCACTTAACAAAATAGTTTGTCTCTCAGTGTGTTTCACTTAACATGATAGTTTGTCTCTCAGTGTGTTTCACTTATCATAATAGTTTGTCTCTCAGTGTGTTTCACTTACCATAATAGTTTGTCTCTCAGTGTGTTTCACGTAACATGATAGTTTGTCTCTCAACGTGTTCCTCGGATCACTTTAAAAGATTGTTTGTTTTTCAGTATATCTCAAATCCCAATAGTTTAAAACCAATTTAGGTGTCTGCTTGGAGAAAATTATATATAACGTTGAGCTCTTACGTTCTTGAAATGCTTTTCTTATTATTCAGAGGGTGCCCCACGAAACATGACAGTTGGTGAATAGTTTTGAATGTCTTCTTCCACCTACTGTATTAGATATTAAAGACTTTTTTGCAGTTTATTTCTTTAAAAAAATGTTTAACTCATATATTTTACTGTCAAATCAATTTTACTATCATATAACTGTCATATAAAAAATGTAATTCGTCATCTTTAGTATCAAAACAACTTATCAAATTATGGAAGAAGACATTTTAAATTATTCACCAACTGTCATGTTTCGTACGACGCCCTGTAGATAAAATAATAATATTATATTAAAACGTACACACGTATACGACGAGTATTCGATTTACGATGACGACATTCGTTTACGTATTTAATCTTTTTAAACAATAATCGAAAGTAAAAAGATTTCTTTTCAAAAATCTTGAGTTTTAAAACTTGTTTAAAATCTAGAAACGTAACGTGGGAACATACAAGAAATTATTGTCCCTGTTGTAAAGGAAATTTAAGTAAGCAAAAGCAAAAATCAGCAAATAAAATCTGAAACTAAGCGCCGTGTAAGCAATAGCTCATGTACAGTGAAACCCTTAATAACGAATACACCGGAAGAATTTATCAAATGTCGTCTTGACAATTTTTCAATGAGTTTTATACTATATTACGTAAATTTCATTTTTTTTGCAAAAATAAATAAATAGCCATGAATATTTGTGAACAGTTTTGAAGAGCTCCATATAATCATTTAATTAAAAAACTAAATATCTGCAACATTCCATTATTAGAAAGTGAAGAATACGACATTCTATGAATTCTTTCGATGTATTCGTTATTAAGGGTTTCACTATATAAATTTCAAAGTTACGATGAAATTTGTCAAAGTAAACTAAGAAACATGAAAGTTAAATCAGCCTGCACTTTTTAAATGTTATTTGAAAGTCAAGAAAAACTGATTTAATTCTCCTCGTCATGCATTGTAGCATATACTGTACAGATCTATAAATCGAAGAAGACCTTGGCTATTCAGCTTATTGCATTGTTTAATGTTTAGGGCGTAAATGGTATTGCGCAGACTGGGAACTGTCCTACTAAACCATACAAATACAAGCTCGCTCTTCCAGATTCAGATGAACAGTACTATCCTTCTCATCATGTGGAACATGATAAATACAATGTTCCAGGTTCAGAAGGGCAGGAACAGTACTATCCTACTCATCATGTGGAACATATTAGATACAATGTTCCAGGTTCAGAAGAACAAGAACAGTACAATCCTACTCATCATGTGGAACAGTGTTAAATACAAGCTAACTGTTCCAGATTCAGAAGACCAGGAACAGTACTATCCTACTCATCATGTGGAACAGTGTTAAATACAATGTTCCAGATTCAGAACACCAGAAACAGTACTATCCTACTCATCATGTGGAACATGTTAATTAAAATGTTCCAGGTTCAGGAGAACAGGAACAGTACTATCCTACCCATCATGTGGAACATGTTAAATACAATGTTCCAGGTTCAGAAGAACAGGAACAGTACTATTCTTCTCATCATGTGGAACAATGTTCCAGGTTCAGAAGAGCAGGAACAGTACTATCCTACTCATCATGTGGAACATGTTAAATACAATGTTCCAGGTTCAGAAGAACAGGAACAGTACTATTCTTCTCATCATGTGGAACAATGTTCCAGGTTCAGGAACAGTACTATCCTACTCATCATGTGGAACATGTTAAATACAATGTTCCAGGTTCAGAAGAGCAGGAACAGTACTATCCTACTCATCATGTGGAACAGTGTTAAGCATACAAAACTTGAAGATACAATCTATATCTTTATATACATACATAAACTTGAACATACAATCTATCTTAATATACATATTTAAACTTGAAGATACAATCTACATCTTTACATACATACATAAACTTGAAGATTCAATCTACATCTTTATATACATACATAAACTTGAAGATACAATCTATATCTTTATATACATACATAAACTTGAACATACAATCTATATCATTATATACATACATAAACTTGAAGATACAATCTACATCTTTATATACATACATAGACTTGAAGATACAATCTATATCTTTATATACATACATAAACTTGAACATACAATCTATATCATTATATACATACATAAACTTGAAGATACAATCTACATCTTTATATACATACATAAACTTGAAATTCCGTCTACAATCTACAGCTGACCTTTAAAAAATAGACTGATTGGATAATGAAGTGAGATCGAATTAACAGACTTGAGAGTTAAAACAGTTATGATATTAATATGTTTTGAACTTTAACTCTGTAAGTTTCATTTGTATATTAACTTGGAAGTTAAGCTTGTGTAATTAGAACAATTTGTCAAAGCAAGATTTTTCGAATATTAAATGAACATTTTTTTTACTTATCGCAAACACATTTTATACATAATCTCAGTCGCATATTCATTTTTAAATTTCAATTTAAAGTTCAAATTTTGTCCAAAAAAAATATTTGTTTGTATTTTGACGCATGAACATCGAAAAAAGACTAACTTTTCATTGAACGGAACTAAAGTGGAACTCTGGAATAGAAAGACGACTTTTAAAATCAAGTTATTACTATAAAATTCTTACGAGCAAGAGACATGGCAAATTTTTGGTGTAAACAGACCCATTTCACTAAACTATTGATTTGATAAGTGTTTTGTAAAACTATTTGCATTGTAAGAATATCAAATACTCTAAAATATTAATATAATGTCGTCTTCCTATTCCGTTGTTTTCTGGTTATCTCTATAACTAATTAAAAAAGCTTAGCAGCGTAACTCTTTTTTAGTCCTTTTTTGTCCATTACTATTTTCTAAGTTCATTTGAGGTTTGTAAAAAATGGAAACGTTTATATATTTATGAAGTTAGTATTTTTGAACATTGGCATTTTTCATATGTTTATAAAACACGATTTAAAAATAAATCTTTTCAATAATTCTAAAGTATTTATAAATTTTTCTATAGGCGGATGACTTGAAAAAAAATAAACCAGTTTAAGTTGTATGTATTGTATAGCGAACCATGCATATAAGAAAAAGACAGATTAAATCATGCACAGTCGTCTCTGATGTTACATCCTTTTTTGGGTAACCCTGTAAACTGCATATACATACATTTTTTGTCAGAGGCAATACTTGAGTGTGCAACTATTAGTTAATTTGTATTCTAAAAACTATTAGAAAAAAGAAAGCTTTTAATAGTTGAGATAAATTTATTGAACATTTATAAGCATACATTTTTTTAATGATTCTTTTAAATTAAAAGATTTTAAGACATAAGTCTGTTGACGGAAAACAGCAACACGCAAGACAAATTAGGATAGTAGGCCGGTTAGGATTCTGGTGGGGATGTTTATTAACCCCAGACAATTCTTTCCCGAAGGCCGAACAACACACACACAACAGAGTAACCCCGTCTCAGAAGTTCGATAACAAAATCTTTATTTCCTAAAAAATAACATAGATTATAGATCATGGTTACTTGTACAATGTTATAATAAATGTTAATAGTAGAAAAAATCTTACGAATTATTTGATTATGGTCGGGGGTGACTTATTTGTTGATCAGTATTGAAATACGTTTTTTTAACTTCTGAAAAATTACAGTTGAATATTTAACGAAATTCACTTATGCTTCTTATGAAAATATTTTGCTTAACTTTAATGATTTCACAACGAAAATATTTTAAGCTCCGTCGGAGGAGGACAATGGAATTTGCGGGCTGAAAGTTTGGTTTGGCTGTCTCCGACAGGAGATTCAAGTTGAAGACGACATTTTATAGAGGTTTTATAATTAATGGTTAACAAAGTCACCTTTGCTTGAGCAAAGGATATTATGACTAATAAAAAAACCATAAATAATTTGAGAAATATACCATGCATACATTTTGTCTAAAAAAATACTAAGTGCACAAACTTCCTTTAAGAAACTAACATTTTTTACAATTTTCAATCAGGTCTCCACAATCTTGTTAGAAAACTATAAAAATATTCCAGAAATTATCGTACTTTTAAAACAAAATTTTTTTCTAGATTTCGGAAAGTTTACTGTTTGGATGAAGTTTGTAGCCCAGCTTTGAAATACAGGGTTACCCATAAAGGATGAGATTGTGAAGACGACTTGAAACTCTTCAAATATGACGATCCCAAGTTTAAGTTAAGTCTTTTGTCTTGTTTATTTTATGATTTGGCAAAGAAAGAAATAAGTTTTGGAAATCATTAATGTAAAGAAACTTTATCCTACGAAGTGAGTAACCCTGTATTTCATAGTCTACACATAAATCATGTTGAAATCGTTTCTAAATATAATTTTAAATCGGTGATGAGGATGCACGAAGAATGAACAATGAAAAATAATAATTTATATTTTATCCAGAATCTTTTCCAGAGCAGGTTCAAGCTCCTCAGGAGAGGAATCCTGAAATCAGATATTTTCAAATGTCGTCTTTTATCAACTACTTTTAGAGTTTGTTCTTGAAGTAAACAAATAGAATAATACTGTAGCCTAGGCTCTAATAACAAAAATTGAAACATCTGCTTTTGCTTTTTTAATTAATAAGTAAATAATATTAATGTCTGCGCACAAACTATATACAGTTTGTAATCGATTCAAATTTTAGTTATTTCTTTGATTTGCCCATATTTTGATTCAATCATTTCACTCGGACACTATTTTTTATTTTAGATTTAATCAATATAAGTTTCGTTAAAGATTTCTTAATTCAAAAGGTGCATTATATCAATAATCGATGTTATTAAAACGAAATTTTTTATGACCAATCTTTGGTTTTGACTGTAATGATAAACATTAAATAGAAAAATGATTTTCGTCTTTGACATTTATTTATACAGGAATATATCACAACTTTATAACAGCTGTACACAATTATTTTATCATTATATATAAGCGAAGACGACATTCATTCTGATTTTATTGGTTAGTAAACAACATGAAATTTTGAAATTAATGTTTTATCAAGACCTAATAAATTTTGATTGAATTTAATACCTAAAAACTAAATGAGATCAAATAAAACAGATTTGATTTTAATCCAGTCAAAGAATGCCGACGGAATGCCGATTGAATGCCGACGTTTTCAAAAATCAAGATGGTACTCCTCGTCCGAACCCTCCTTCAAACATTCATATCAAAGGGAGGGATCACATGTTTAAAAGTGGAGGGATCACGTGTTTAAAAGTTAGCCAATATATAAATTAAGTCTGCAGAAATCATCTAATCGGAATAATATTGGAGGCCCTGGGTGTATTATTTGGAGGCATGATTTTGAGGCCCCAAGCTTTTCCTGAAAAATTCCTAACTTTTCGAAAATATTGACTGACCCGGCCGTTTCTTGTGTCCATCGGAAAGTGAGACCCCAAATTTTCCTAGGAGAACCAAACTTTGACATTGGATTCTGAAGAGTGAAAACTCGAGATTTTATTGAATGATTATCGGAAGCCCTTATGTTTTTTAGAGCTTGCGAGGTAAGACGACTTTATTAATCTTCTATGAATATTTACCTGGAGAAACACGTTTCTTTTAGTTTCAGGAGTTGATTCCTAAAATAGTTTTACAAAATTTTATTTAGTAATTAAAATTAATAAATATGTAGATACAGGAGATACCCTGAAAGGATGATACTGTAAAACCAACCTAGAACTCTTAAAATATGACGATTTAAATATTGTTGTGCCTTGAATATAGTCTTTAAATGCATTATTTAATGATGTGTTGGAAAAAGAAATAAGTTAACAGTTGCAGGGAGTCATAAATAAAAGGAAACATAAATTTTCAATTCCAAGTACATTCGGCGTTTAAATCTCATTCTTTGGTAACCCTGCGTATATAAACATGCACGTATTTACAGCCATGATATTTGGTTGAACACAACACAATGCTCAATAAAAATTCTTACAATCGTTCTTGTGCATAAGAAATAGGTCAATTTTCCCTTTATGGTGGATTTTGAATAAATATCTAGATATCCATATCCTTCTCGACTCTTGATGTTTATTTGTGATGTTGAGAGTGAGACTAAAGAATATTTTCTACCTGACTAAATGCCCTTCTTTTTGCCTGTCTCCAAGCTTCTATAGCTTGCTTCTCAGGATAGGACATCTCCTTGGAACAACGTTTTAAAATAAGAATTTATAGAAGTTTAAATTAGCAAAAAAATTACAAGAACCAATTTTCTCAAATTCATTTATTTAATGCAATGTGCTTTCAAGGTACACTACATTTACAACGGTAATATTTAAAATGTCATCTGATCAATAATGTAGAAGATATCGTCGTTTTCATAGCGTTTAGATTAGACAATTTTCTTCACTGTTTCTGTACCAGATATCCGGGACCTTAAGTCACTATTAGGAAAAACACGATTGAAAACGATAACTTTTCTAAGTAAAAAACATGGATATCTCATTCAGTCTTGATCATAAAAAGCTTTTATCTAACACTAATTTTTGGAGCACTGCAAGTGCTCTACCAAAAAAACTTTCGTTATATTCTCTTCAAATTAATATTTAAAGCTCTACGTAAATATCAACAACGACAAGCTATTTTTGTCTATCACAAGATTCCTTTTCTTTTTTCAATCTTACATTAGTGATAATTAATATAAGTAGACAAAAGGAACTTTAAACGTTATTCTTTTTCAGGTGTAGCTATTTGTATTTCAATTTTATACTGAAATATGTGATTAAAATATCACCTGGACCCTGATTAATGATGTCCCACAAGAACTTGGCCGTGACTAAACAAATGATAGCAATAAACAGATGTATTACCAATGTGAAGTAGACTACCCTTTTTCTTTCATTAGATTAGATTAGGATTTTTTTACTTGCGACTGTTTATATCTAAGTTTTAAATTACAAATAATCAAAGACGACAAAGATTCCGTTTTATATCGTATTTTATTTATTATTTGCAGAAACCAATTTTATCAAAAAACTAACATAAAAATGTCCAGTTTGCAATTAAAAGAAAAAAGATTGCATAATCTGAAATCAAAAGAGAGAAAATTAATTTTTATGTTTAAATTTTTACATGTGAAAATAGTTTTAAGATAATTTTAAATTAAAACATTTTACCTGTGAAGCCATTAATATTACTATTGTGCACAGGGTCATAGGTACAGTTAGTACAGGAAGCTGATCCTAAAAGATATTATTATTATTATTATTATTATTATTATTATCATTATTATTATTATTATTATTATTATTATTATTATTATTATTATTATTATTATTATTATTATTATTATTATTACTATCATTATTATTATTATTATTATTATTATTATTATTATTATTATTATTATTATTATTATTATTATTATTATTATTATTATTATTATTATTATTATTATTATTATTATTATTATTATTATTATTATTATTATTATTATTATTATTATTATTATTATTATTATTATTATTATTATTATTATTATTATTATTATTATTATTATTATTATTATTATTATTATTATTATTATTATTATTATTATTATTATTATTATTATTATTATTATTATTATTATTATTATTATTATTATTATTATTATTATTATTATTATTATTATTATTATTATTATTATTATTATTATTATTATTATTATTATTATTATTATTATTATTATTATTATTATTATTATTATTATTNCAAGATATTAATATAAAAATATTATAATAAAAATAATAATTTAATACCAAACTTTTATTATGAATAACAATAAAAACCTGGGCAACGTGGAGTACTCCAGCTAGTTTGTATTTTTATTCTTATTATTATCATCATTATTACTATTAGCTGTAGTAATGAGCATATTACCTTATCCATAGTTATCCTAAGTGCAGCTTGAATGCAGACTGTAGCTAGAGTATTAACTAGACCAGCAACGAAGGAGACAGGGGAGAAAGGGAAGAAAACACATGCCACAGAGGACATGGCTAGAAGAGCATTGTAGCCCCACACTCCGTCATAAATCTAGAAAATAGATATCAAAATTAAAATTAAAAATTTAGTTAAAAATTTAATTGTTTTTTAATATATTTAGTTCAGTTACTTATGTAGTTTTTTTTTTAATAAAATTCGGTCTCAATGATGCTCCAAACCTCAGAGAGTAAATAAAGTTAGTTTCAAATTTTTTGAAAATATATTTCGGCCAAGGTTGACCCTCGTCAGTTATTGAGATTTCTTTCTGTCATGAAGATTCAAAACAAACAATTTTTACTTTTCTTAGTATTCAATTTGTCATAATTTTTTTATTTAACCCTATCCCTGCTGGGGTACTTGAAAACCAGGATACGCTGGGGGGGGGGGTAGGCAGTTAGTATTAAAGCCCGGTTTTAGGCCTAAAGGGAGGGCTTTGGGTATGTAAGAAAAGTCAGAAAATTTCAACAGCCTCAGACCAATACTTTTTGAGTTATGTAAAAAAAACTACAGGGGGGGTCAAATTGACCCCCCCCCCAGCAGGAATAGGGTTAAGATGCAAAATGTATTTTTTTATTTATGAAAATGTACCTTGTTATTTATGGTTTAGATAATAATAAAATGTTAAGTATCTCATTCTTTCTTTATTAAGTTTTTATATGCTTAAAAGTTTCATGGAAAGAGAAACACAGATAAGTGCTTTTTATTGTACTAAAATATAGTATTATAAATACAAATAAGGACCAATTCATTCTTTATGTTAATTTAAAGAAGTTAAAACATCTCTGGTTTTTAAATAATTTATAAGGAGAGTAAATTTTAGATTTATACAAGATATTTGACAAGATATCATTATATTGACAAGGTATCATGTCTGATTTGAGTAAACCACCCTCAGACTATTTATAAAACAAAAGTTTTTGTGTGATAAATTACTAGCTGAATATACATTTCTTATATTGCAGGAAAGGAATTGAGTTTTTGTCACAAACTCTGATTTTCTATAAATTCCTATTTCTCTGCAACCCAATGTCGTAGACCTTAGATATTTCAAACTATGAATTCTTTTGCATCAAATTATCTTAGTTTGAAATATCAAAAGTCTACAACATCAGGTTCCATAGATATAGGGACTAGGAAATTTGAGCTTGTGACAAAAACTCAATTCCTTCACAAACGCCAAAATTTGATTCTTTTTGGCAATTTTCGTCCTCACCCTGTAATATGGTTTCTTTTCTACCCGATACGTTTTTGACAGACGTACTTTCCCTCGTCATGATTCAAACTCATGATTATACAGTGAAGCAGAAACTTTTGAAGATTTTTCCAAATTAAACTGAGTTTTGAATACCAAAGCGGTTTTTTAAAACAAATTTCATAACATTCTTTTTTATTCACAAATGCCGGAAACATATTTTTAAGTTGGGATTCCAATTAAACTTTGAAATGTAGGAACAAAACTAATAAACCAAGTTTTGTTTTCAAGAATTTATTTAAGTTTCGACCTCCAAGATTAAAATGATAAACGAAACGTCTGTTCATTGTTAAATGTGCAAGTTTCAATATTACAGTGAACAGGGTTTAAGAGAAAGCAGAAACGTTTAGAAATATTAACAATTTTGTCCATCGAAAAAACTCATCAAAACTGGAAAGTGCACTTTAAAAAACTTGTCTTTCACAATCGTATTTTTTTTAGGCTTAAATTATAAAATTATCATTGTTTGATCTATATTTAGGGNCCTCTCTCAATCTCTCACTCAACCCCTCACACAACCCCTCCAACTCCTCACTCATCTTTAACTCACAATTCACTGCTTTCATAAAATATGCCATCTCATCTCCAGCCAATAAGAATCTTTTATTTGCAATAACTACCCTAGGCACATGATTTCGCACATTTTTAACAAGGTTTAAAACCCAAAACTAAACTGGTTTTTGGGTTTGTAAAATCAATACAATCTGTTTCTTTTTATACTAAACTCAATGATTAAAATCTTTTCAGGTTATTAGTTTTTAAAAGTCAAGAAATTTCACGATGAAAGTGTCAAAAATGGGAGTGGGAGCCATTATCTTCCTCTTAACCTACTCTCTTTCTGGCACAGAAGATTTTTCTGCACTACTATTCATTCCAATTTTTGAATTAATAAATCATAACTTTCTTTTTTTTGGTGGGTGCAGGAGTGTTTTACATCGGTTTGATGGTCAGCTATAGACTAAAATATATTTTTAAAATGCAAAAAATCAAGAGTGAATAATCAATATTTGATCAAGATATTGATAGTTTAGTTCTATTATCTACCAATTACAAAATATGAATAATCAATATTTGATAAAATATTAATAGTTTAGTTCTATTATCTACCAATTACAAAAGATGAATAATCAATATTTGATCAAGATATTAATAGTTTAGTTCTTAACGATTCTGCCGTCATAAGAGACAGACAAATGTGAAAATAATTTATATACAGTAATTGATCTAATTATCGAATTCTAGATGCTCACATATTAAGATTTAAGTAGTAATCTCTGTTTGGATGTCCCATCATAACTCATGAGCCCCTGTACCAATTTGCATCAAATTTTAAGTATCCTGGTTTAAAAATTCTACGTTGAGTCACCTCACATTTAATGAGAAACTGGGTTTCCCAACTATTCTATATATATATATCGTTACCGAAGGGCCAGGCGTTGCCCGTGGAAAAAAATGTTGAAAAAAAATTTGAAATTTGAAAAAATAAATAAAAAATTGAAGAAGAAAAAATTTCGATTTTTTTTTGCAGCCTATGACTTTCCCCGGCCCCTTTCCCCATTAGTGTCCACTTTGTAATTTTTTAACGGTTCTGGCGATATATCTCTTGACATGTTCAGGGCAAATTTACAGTTATAAAACAGTTACAAAGATGTTGAGTTTTTGCCACAAACTCTGATGTTCTAATTTCTATATCTTTGTAACCCAATGTCGTAGACCATAGATATTTCAAACTTTTAATACTTAAAGATAAAATAATCTAAGTTTAAATATCAAAGGTTTGCACCATCAGGTTGCAAAGATATTGTGATCAGAAGATTTGAGTTTGTGACAAAACTCAATTCCTTTAAACAAATCGTTATACCGCTTTATATACTGGTAATAATGTGAGAATCAGAAAACTGTGGAATGAATGTTGTATTTTTTCTTCCTTGAAAAATACCGCTAAGAATTTTGTAATCTACAATTGTTTTAATGAAATACCGCTATACATGTTCTCGGCATTTTTTAGATATTGGTCATTTGCAAATTGCAACAATCTTAATGAAATTTCATAGTTAAAAGAATAAATAACATGAATTATACTGTGTTTTGGTTCTCACTGGATGTATATCAAGATTCTGGAATATTCCAGAAAATTTTTCTCATTTCATTGTTTCTTCTGATTTCTAGAAATTCAATGGGTAATTTGTTTAAAAGTAAAATATTGTTGTATACTGCCCAGGGCCACCACAATTGCATTAATTCTGCTTTTCGTCAAAACTCAGAATATTTGTTTATTGTTACAAAAGTTATTTACGAAAATGCATTTTCACCCCCCCCCCCCTGCACTAAACCATTTGGAATTAAAAACAGTTTTGGACGACACGATAAATTGTCATTTCCAATATGAATGTATTTTTCAAAACAACATTTATTTTACCAAATCATAAATTTGGCCATATTTGTAAATCTTAATCTTTACATGGAACTAAGTCCTACAAATCTAAAGAAATATTTTCTGAATGGGACTGTCGAAATAATTTTAAAGGAAGTGTTCGCGAAAAATGAAAGGGAGGATAGGCTGAACCCCTTTCTCCTTATAGACGCAAAAGATAGAATTAAAATTAGTAGCGATCTACATTGAATTCAATTCGAGATCATCCCATAACCTATCCCATAACCATAACATACTTCGCGAACCCTCCCTTTATGTGACCCTTTATTTCCTGAGTTATATGTAGAACTTGGATGTTCGTCCGAGGAGGTAAGGTAGGAAATTGACAAAATATCTTCTCATTCACGGTTTAAAGGACACTGTTGTGAATCGAGCATGTAGTTCTTTAAATAAAGGGTAATTTAATATTACATAGACAGTCCCTTTAAATAAAGGTTTATTTAATATTCCGTAGACAGCCCCTTTAAATAAAGGGTTATTTAATATTCCGTAGACAGTCCCTTTAAATAAAAGGTTATTTAATATTACGTAGACAGTCCCTTTAAATAAAGGGTTATTTAATATTCCGTAGACATCCCCTTTAAATAAAGGGTTATTTAATATTACGCAGACAGTCCCTTTAAATAAAGGGTTATTTAATATTACGCAGGCTGTCCCTTTAAATAAAGGGTTATTTAATATTGTGTAGACAGTCTCTTTAAATAAAAGGTTATTTAATACTACGTAGACAGTCCCTTTAAATTGATGAAATATAAACCTGATAATAATCCTCTTCTGGTAGAATTGATATCGCCATTAAACATCCTAGAATCAAAAATAATTAATCTATTAATCAATAAACTTCAAAGGAATTGAGTCTTTTGCACAAACTTAAATTTTCTAATCCCTACATCTATATAGGGTTTACGGCAGAGATAAAGGGATATAGTTTGTGGCAAAAATTCAATTTCACTCAACCAAAAAATCCAAAAAAAATCCTTTAGAAAAAAATTGTTTAATCTTGTTCAACAGACAAATTATTTAATAAAAGATCAAATTGTAAAAAAGATAAAGAAAATCTCCTAATCAAAACTAAAAAAAATAAGCTTATGTGTTGTGTCCCAAAAAAAATCAAGCAAAAAAACACAATTAACACCTTAAAAACTATTTCGTACCATTTGAGTTTATAAGAAACAAAGAAATTTTTGTCAAGCAACTTCGTGAATGAAACAGGTTTTTAAAATATGTTCCATCTTTTTAACAATGATGAATATATTACTCTTCTTGGTTAAATAATAAAAAGATAAATTTCGTTATTAAACCTGCTCTGTCATCGTTACTTTCATCCTTTTAAATACATTAATGTACATTTTGCAGATATTTGTCTGCTATTATCATTTAATGCTAGGCTTCTAGCTTCTTAATTCTTGGAAATTCAGCAATTAAAACAGAAAAAATCTGCGAAATTTTTTTGTTTTCGCTGAACAATGAAAAAATGGTGGTACGGAAATTACCATTAAAGTGTCATACATATATAGATAAAGGGTCGAGAAGCGACCTAAAAGTAATATACATTACCTATTGTGGCACCAATAGTGTTCATAGTAAAGAGAAGAGGAGAAGATAAAAGAACTCCAAGATTCATTAGCATAGAGGAGACTATACTATTACAGGCATACACCTAGATTAATGGAATAATTTTATATGTTTTTACATTTCTAAGATAGGGTCTAATTTAAAGTTTCGTAAAGCCTTGACCATTGATTTTACCTAACTAACTTATACTTTTTTGTAGACCTAGATATTCACATTTTACAACTATAAAAACATGTTTTGGCTTTAGCTTTAAGAATTAATTGGCAAAATTATTGTGGCTAGTGCCCAGAAGGCATAGTTATGTTAGTATACGTTTTTCATTTCATTACCTGCCCCATAGATACTAGAATACCCCTTCCAACTCCACACCAAGATATTCTAAAATAAATTAACAATTTTGCAATAAAAATATTTTTGTTTAAAGTGCTTTTTTCATAAAAAAAATAAATTTTATTTTGTTGGCTATAAAGAAAGCAACATTCAAGACTCACTAAACTAATTTTTTCATGTGTGTGCCATGGTAAATTACAAGAAAAATTTGAAAAAACTACATTTCTCAATTTGGTCTACACTAAAACCACAGTTTTTGAAAACCAGAACAAATCTGTGTCATAAAAGCTAAAAATATTTTCAATTTTCTCTACCCTATGTTATCCCCAGAAAAAAACATGTTTAAAAGGTCAAATTTTGTTCGAAAGTCACAACTTTCTGAAATATTGACAGAACCGTTAAATCCACGTGCTATGGTAACCCAAGAAAAAAGTGCAATAAATGCCGAGAATATATAAACGATAAACATACATAAATAGGGGCGCGAAGCTCTCTAAAGCTTAAAAATTGATCAATTATCTATTTCTTACCTTCCATCCCCGCAATAGGGGTCACTAAAGCAAGAACAATCTCTGAATATAGTTTACATAATTTTAAAAATGTAACATTAAAAAGTACTTTAAAAGTGTGGAAAAAAACTCAAGCAAAGGAATTAAGATTTTTCCACAAACATAAATATTCTAATCCCGAAATCATTACAACATGATTTTAAAAACCTTTGATATTTCAATATTAATTTATACTACTTGATCTACCAGAATTTATAGTTTAATTAAAATATCAAAGGTCTACGAAATCGGGTTGTAAAGATATAGGAATTAGAAAATCAATTCCTTTTAATCGACCAATTTTTTGGCAGAAAAATGTATTATTTATTTTAAAGGCTTTAATGAATTTCAAATCGATCTAAAAAGATTTTTTTTCTTTTGATAATTTATTTGATTTTGCTTTCCTAGCATTAAAGGTTCGCGCCACAATAGAGATTGGTTCAGGAGCAGGTTTCAGGGTCAGGAATATACACAGAGCTAGGGAATACAGGTTCATGTTCATGTTTGTGTTCATGTTCATTTTTGTTCATGTTCATGGTCATGTTCATGTTCATGTTCATGTTCATGTTCATGTTCATGTTCATGTTAATTTTCATGTTCACGTTCATGTGCTCATGTTTGTTCATGTGTATTTCATGTTCATGTTCATGTTCATGTTCATGTTCATGTTTATGTTCATGTTCATGTTCATGTTCATGTTCATGTTCATGTTCATGTTCATGTACATGTTCATGTTCATGTTCATGTTCATGTTTATGTTAATTTTCATGTTCACGTTCATGTGCTCATGTTTGTTCATGTGTATGTTCATGTTCATGTTCATGTTCATATTCATGTTCATGTTCATATTCATGTTCATAAATTCATGTTCATATTCATGTTCATATTCATGTTCATATTCATGTTAATTTTCATGTTCATGTTCATATGTTCATGTTTGTTCATGTTCATGTTCTTGTTCATGTTCATATTCATGGTCATGTTCATGTCAAAGTACAGTACATTTTTAATTTTAATTTTCAGTTTAAAGTTTATGTAATCTTATTTAACTAAATATTAAAGGGAGTGTTCGCGAAAAATGAAAAGGGGTATAGGCTTAATGCGATAAAAAAGCGTTTTTGATCACGGCTAATCTTACTTCTATTTGTTGCGTCTATAAGGAGAAAATTGTTAAAGACGTCTCATACCGAATAACTTAGCAGCGGCCATACAAATTGAGAAAATTGCAACATACTACTTAGACCGTAAAAAATCAAATTAATTTCAAACAAATCATTTAGATATTACGACCTATAGTCATCGATTATCTTTCGCCACATTTGTATATAGTTTATATTTTATAATATTTTATTTTTTTTATAAAACGTTTTCAACGGATTTCGAAAATTGTGAGTGGTGTGCGGCATTCTTAGATAGTTGCGCAAGCGACAAGAGAAATAAACAAATTAATTAACAAATATTATAAAAAATAAACTATAAAACAAATGTGACGAAAGATAATCGATGACTATAGGTTGTAATATCTGAATGATTTGTTTGAAATTAAATTGATTTTTTTAACGGTCTAAGTCGTAGTTGCAATTTTCTCAATTTGTATGGGCGCAAAGTTATTCGGTATGAGACGTCTTTAACAATTTTCTCCTTATAGACGCAACAGATAGAAGTAAGATTAGTAGCGATCAAAAGCGCTTTTTTTTATCGAACTAAGCCTATATCCCCTTTCATTTTTCGCGAACACTCCCTTTAATGTTCACTGTTTCTTTTAAATTAAGTTAATTTAAATTAAATTTTCGTTGCTGTTTTGTTAAAGAAATGATCACTCAGCTCAAACTCTTATTTTCTAAAACCATATATTTGCAACCAACCTGATGATATGTAATGTATAAACATATCTTAAACGTTGACTATTTGTAGTCTGGTTTGAAATTGCAAAAATTTGAAATTAAAAAAAATATTTTGAGGCGAGTAATCAGTTTGGCTATATCATGCATTATACAAAATATAATTAATGAATGTTACCTATAATATTGAACGGAAGAGCCATGTACGGAACATTGACTTTACCCAGAAAGTTCAGAAACGCACTCGCAAAGAATACACTGAAATAAATTTAAATTAAAAAATATACCAATAAAATTTTGCCAGGGTACAATTGAGATTAAAAGTCATAACCCCCAGGATCAGTTCGGTTTCTTCTATTTAATTACAACCGTGTTTTGGTTTATAGTTCAACAATCTTTAAACTTACAGAGTTTTTCAAAACACATCATCCAATAAAAAGAATATAACAGAGAATCAACGAAAAATTGTGATAATAAGTGACAGCTTTATGGGACAACGACCAAAAATTAGAAAAAATGTGAATGAGTGAATGATTAGAAATAAATCAGTATAAAAAACTAGCAAAATTGCAATGTTTCGTTATAAAAGAAAGAAAGGAGACGACAATTGTTTCACTGTGAGTTTTGGAAAGAAGTAAAGATTAAAATATTTTCTATAATTGTAAGGGAGATGGTCGGCCACGAACCAAATATGGATGTTTATTTACTAAACATAAACTCTAAAAAGGTTTGGATGGTTTAGAATGGGTGGAGGGTTGAACATGAAACTATCCTGAGTAAAAAGTAGGCCACCTAGGGTGCAATCAAACCCCTGGCGTGTGTCAGTTTCAGTTCACCAGAATTTAGAATTTAGAATTTTACAACAAGTTTCATCTTGCATATAGATCACAGAAAATATTCGAAATGTTATTGTTAACGTTTTAAAAGAATGGCAAAAATATTGTTTAATTTTTTTTCCTGTGTCTAGAATTTTCTTAGCTTTCTGCATTAAAAAAATCCAGAACCCAAAATTTTATTTGTGAAAATATTGAAATTTTTTTGAATTACATTTATTAATGACTAGGAAACCTAGGGTGATATTATTGGGTGACCCCCCCTCCCCCTGTAATGTCGTGGCGTGGGAACTATGTCAACCAAATAAATTAATTATAAAACAATAGATACTGTATCTATTACTATAGACTACATTTTCACAAATTTACAATTTGCAATTTTAAATGAACTGTCAACGTATTATAAAAGGATTGTCAACGTAATTTAAAGGGACTGTCTACGTATTTTAAAAGGATTGTCAACGTAATTTAAAGGGACTGTCAACGTATTATAAAAGGATTGTCAACGTAATTTAAAGGGACTGTCAACGTAATTTAAAGGGACTGTCAACTGGGGGGGTGAATTAGCTTTCGAATTATCATCAATCGTTTTACTGTGTTCAATAAATCTATATCAATGTACACCCGACAACCATCGCAGATAATCTAAAACAGATTTTGTTACCACCTTCTTGAGAAAAGATGTTGGTCAAAATAATAACATTATCATCCTTTAAATATTGCTATTTTACAGGGATTTGAATAGAACATGTGAAACCCGTTTGTCATTGTTTTTCTTTCTTCCAATTTGAAGTGTCGTATTTAAGATAGGTATATAAAAAATGTTGTGTAAAAAACTGCAAAGAAATTAAGTATTTGCTACAAACTCAAATTGTTTAATCCCTATATATCTACAACCTGATGGTGGAAACCTTTAATATTTAAAACTTAAACCATTTAATCTGCAGGGTGTCCCAAAAACATGGGAATTCAGTGACGAATTTGATATCGTCTTTGTTATGAATTAGCACTGTAATACCTAATTTCAAAAGCCATAATATTATTATGTTCCGAAGCCGTCGGGGGGAGGGGTGGGGGGTTATTGGGTAATTTCCCGAAAGAAGCCCATTTTAGAAAAACCAGAGGAAAAACATTAAACGAAATTTATAAATTGTCATTAGTAAAAAACTCTCGAGGAGTACTAGATGACACTACCCACCCACAAGAAATGGCACGATATGAAAATTCTATCAAAAGAAAATCATTTATGATCATATTTTATCAAGAATTCATTTTTTAAGTCATTTGAAAGGGACTGTAAGCGTAATTTCATGTGACCTTTTATTTAAAGATGGCATTGTAAGATTCACAAGAGTACCCCTTGAAACCTTTATCTGATCAATAATTTGGAAGATATCTTCGTTCATCTAGGTTTAAAAATGTTTTCTTCAGAATAGAAATGTGCAGGTCACTTTTGTAGAGAAACCACAATTAAAATAATTAGTTTTTAATATTATAAACATTGAGATCTAATTCATACTTGATCAGACAAAGTTTTATATGGTACCGTTGTGAATCGGGCATTTCCATGTCGTCATTACGCTTACAGTTCTTTTAAGAATTTAAGAAGATAAAAAATATATGTATGTATATATCGAATGTCTTGTGTTTTAGCTATCTGTAATATCCAATATTTGAAAGATTTATCTCTCTCTAAATTATACTATATTTATCTATATTTATGTTGTTTTGAGATCTACCTACATGTTGGATTTTAGGTCAGATAAGAATTGATAAAATATAGAAAAACAAGAAAATTTTGGAAGCTGAAAGTCCAGTACGAAAACGGACGTGAACAATATTTATTATTTGGTGATNGTTACTAAAGCCTAAATAGAAGCTCAAAACTGTGCTGGAGCTCAAAAATGCCTAATTGCAGTAATAAATCTTTGTCCGTCCACCGTATAGAATTTCAAGATCTAAAGCTATAAACACACAGACACAACCTAGAGGAACTCGACACACAGACACAACCTAGAGGAACTCGACACACAGACACAAGCTAGAGGAACTCGGCAGTTCGGAAACATAAAAATGAGAATTTGTGTCCTTCTTTGTTTTTATAAACATAGGAATATGTCCGACTGCTGGGAAAAGTTTCATAAAGTTCAAAACTGGGTTAACGTACTCAGAAGTGTCGCAATGCCTTGGCCATTGATTTTATCGTTTTATAGTTTTGAAGAAGCAATTGGAAAAATTATCATCGAATTTCAGAAGAGCTTCCATCCTTTCGATCACTGATGACGATTTTCCAATTCCTATATGTTTGCAATCAGATGGTTTACACCTTTGATGTTTCAGACTTTAACTATTTGATCCTTCAAAATTCATAATTTGAAATGTTAAAGATTTACGTGCGACATCAGATTATCAGTTATAACGATTATAAAATAGATTTTGAGTCAAGTAATAAGTTCCTTAATTTTACGAATTTTACATAATTTCAAACCCTTTGTTTGGATGTCTCTTATAGAATTTAAATAAACCTTTTCTTTTTTAAAAATTACAAAATGAAATTTGTAAATTTTAGTAGTTTTACGTTTATATAAGTCGATCAAAACTTATTTAGGACGATCAGGCGTATACATCAAAGATTCTAAGATTCTCAACACCACTGTTGTTTCATACAAACTTTCTATCTTTCCATTTAGTGATTGAAATCTAAATGTTAAACCATGAATAATCTATATTCAAAGCTTTAGTATAACGATCCACAAATCCGCATTAAATCAGAGTGGCAATCAACACATTACAGAAATAACAACTTGGCAAGAGACATTTAAATTCAGATATATTACTATAAAACCATCTCCCTAACTTAGACCGGAGGGGGGAGGGTAGATTATAGGGGAGGGGGAGCGTACAAGAAATTATGGTTAGGTCTGGAGAATAATTAATCGTATTCAGACCCACCCTCCGACCCCACGACCCTTCAGCCACAAATAATATACAGGGGGTCCCAAAAAAATCGCACATTTTCTCTCGAAGAATATACACTGTTGTAAAATAAAAACTGATCATTTTTTCTTTTTTTTGGAAGGTTGTAAAAATCGTTGGACACCCTGTAGTACTTGATAATATGTTGGACACCCTGTAGTACTTGATAATATGGAATTGTGTTACTGTCATATATGGTGCTTCCTCATAATGTTCATTTATGTCCCCAAGCAACTAATCATCCAATTTTAAAATGGGTGGGGCAGGAGCCTGGGGGGCCCGGGGTTCTAATCTAATCTAATCTAATCTAATCTAATCTAATCTAATCTAATCTAATCTAATCTAATCTAATCTAGTCTAATCTAATCTAATCTAATCTAATTTAATCTAATCCAACAAAACCCATTTTGGAATTATTCTCCATAGTATATTTATTTTGATAAAAGGATGGGCTACGGAGGGGGGGGGAGGGGGTTCAAACCCAATTATCATCCCGGACGAAAAGAGCTAGAGTTCATCGCGTCATCTCGGTAGAGATTTCAACGCCTCGTTTTAATTATATTTTCCTTCTACGGTTCAAATTTAGACTCTATTCAACATGATTAAATATAAATTCGTGATTGGAGGGGGAGGGGGGAAGGGGGGGGAGGATATTCGTCTAAAAATTAAAAAAAATATTTAATTTAATTTCCCATGCCCCAAACAGTAAGCATATTTGCACAATTTTTACAAGTTTAGACTGAACTTCGTTTAGGGTTAAACAATTTTACTGTATGGTGTAAAACAGTTTATTGGCATTTTTTGGTTCGTTTTTTAACATTCAAGGTTAAATGTTTACATTTTAAAGTTTCCACGAGAATCTGAACAAATAAATGTTATACTCTAGAACTATTCGCATCTACAGCAATATTAATGCTAATATAATATATTCGGCCAACAAATATATATATATAAATATATTTATATATAACAAATAATTTAAGAAGATTCGTTGTTTTTAAAAATGGTTTCGATAAAAAATGTTATATTTAAAAATGTAAACTTAGAGAAAATGCAACATTGAAAAAGACATAAATCGCAAAAGAACCTTCTCTTTCTGATTTTATTTAAAATCCCAATCCATTGCATAAATCCTAATGACAAGCATTATTTAAAAAACCGTGTTCCATCATGAAGCAGCATGCAGACTTCAAAGGTCCGGAATTATGTAAATTTGGACAAGATGTAATCAAGGTTCAGATGGGTAGATAGATAGATAGATAGATAATCGAGGTTCAGATAGATAGATAGATATAATCGAGGTTTAGATAGATAGATAGATAGATAGATAGATAGATAGATAGATAGATAGATAGATGTAATCAAGGTTCAGATGGGTAGATAGATAGATAGATAGATAATCGAGGTTCAGATAGATAGATAGATATAATCGAGGTTCAGATAGATAGATAGATAGATAGATGTAATCAAGGTTCAGATGGATAGATAGATATAATCGTGGTTCAGATAGATAGATAGATAGAAAGATATATTCCAGGTTCAGATGGATAAATAGATATAATCGAGGTTCAGATAGATAGATAGATAGATAGATGTAATCAAGGTTCAGATGGATAGATAGATATATTCGAGGTTCAGATAGATAGATAGATATATTCGAGGTTCAGATGGATAGATAGATATAATCGAGGTTTAGATAGATAGATTGATAGATAGATGTAATCAAGGTTCAGATGGATAGATAGATATATTCGAGGTTCAGATGGATAGATAGATATAATCGAGGTTCAGATAGATAGATAGTTAGATAGATGTAATCAAGGTTAGGATAGATAGATGGATAGATTTAAAATTTAAAATATGAAGTATAATGCAAGCTAATTTTAGGGGAGTGTATATCATATTTACATAAATACATCCTTATTCAGAAAAAAATAAATAATAAAAAAATAATTTGCTTTTCTTACAATATTTATCTACCTACAGCCTACAGGCTTAATTTCAAGTGACTCTCTGGCTGGGGGGGGGGCGTTTGGCGCCCCCCCCTGTAGTGCTTTTGTACTAGCACTCTCATTTTTGACATTATCACTGTGAAATTGTGTGACTTTTAGTGAATAGTAATTTAAAATATTTTTTTTAAAAATATTTTTTTTATTTTTAGGATAGGGGGTAGGGTACAGGGCGGAAAAAAGTCCGGCCTGTAAAAAATATAAAGTTGCTCATAACTTGTTTGTGACAGATCTTAAAACTATTTTTTTTAAAGCCCTTGATAAATGCATGTAGAATCATGAAACACCGTTTAATATTTGTTTAAAACAAAACAAAAATATTTTTAAATTTTTTTTGACCCCTTTTTTAGGCATTTTTTCCACCCTCTCTAGCACCCAAACAATTAAAGTTATCGGTCTAATTTTTTTTCTTTGAGCTGGCCTTGAAAAATTGGGCTATGAGCATGCATTTCAAGCCTATACCTATTCTCTAAGGCCTATTTCTAGGGGGGGGGGGGCTATACATAGATTCAGACCCCCCAACCTTGATAGGGTTAAAGATTGACATGGTTGATTCACAGAGGTACTATATTGATCATTAACAAAACCAACAATGGGGAAGATATTCGACTAAAAGAGCTAAATTCTGGAAATTTCGTTCTTTTTTCTGCTGCATAAAATCCTTATGTCAATTTTAGCAATAAAAAACGCTGAGTAATGAATTTTCAGATAGAAAAAGAATTATCTTTTTAATAATTTTGATCAAATTCCAATTCCACTTGAAATTACGTAGGCAGTCCCTTTAAAACGCCTTTTACAATGATAGTTTATACCTTGCAACGGATCCAATGACGATTGCAATCCACATGTGTGCAGTTCTCTCCCCTCCATTCATACCTTCATATCAAAATAATTATTTTTCAAAAGATGAATAATTTTCTAAGAAATTTAGATAAGCTTTAATTTTTCTAATCCTTATAAAATACATTTTACTAGAAGGGGGTCATTCGTTTGGCGTACTGTCCCAGTTTTCCTTAAATAGTTTGTAATTGTAGCATGTACAGCTTGCTCTAGCTGGTTACAAGTCGGCCCGGTACTTAATAAACCGGATTTTATAGTTTTATATCTTTGCAACCTAATGCCGTAAATAGTTAATGTAAGGATTACACTTATGCTCAGGTATTGGTATTAATAGGGACAGAGGGATTAGAAAATTAGAGTTTTTTTCCAATTTATTTTTGTCCTCAGATGATGAGGGTTTGTTGTACCGAACATAAAAGATATTTTACAAAAAATTTCTAAACATACACATTTGTTTATTAGCAAAGGGTTATGGTGTTCTGCATAATGCTTAAATCGCTTCAATAAGCCTGCCTATGTATATTAGGTATGCAGATCACTTTAGGGAGAGCCTAAAGGGTTAAAGCAAATTGAAGTAAAAACCTGCCGCACATTCAATTCTACAGAAGATAGGTAACAGGCACTAGCCGGCAGGGTTTCTTTTTATTAAAAGACTAGACGTAAACAACTTTTCAAAGTAAAATAGGATAAATAGACTTTTATGAACCTGAGAAAATATAAGAGGTATAAAATAAAAGTATAGTACAGGAGAGTACTGAAAAGAACCGCAAAAAAAGGAGAAAACCGTCGGAGAAAACACGAGAATGCAGAAAATAACCAAAAGAAAACAGGAAAGTGCAGAAAACACCAAACAAAAACAGGAGAGAACAGAGAATATCCTGAAAAAAGAGAAAACAAAAAACCAACCGAAAAAGGAGAGAACAAAAAACCAACCGAAAAAATATAGAAGAAAACAGAAAACAACCGAAAAAAATAGAAAGAATAGAAAACAATTAAGAAAAAAGTGGAAAGAACAAAAAAAATCAGGAGAAAAACAGAAGAGAACAGAAAACAACCGGGGAAAAAAGGAGAAAACAGAAAACAACTGAGAAAAAAGAGTGAGAACCGAAAATAACCGGGAAAAACAGGAGAGAACAGAAAACAACCGGGGAAAAAGTAGAGAAAACAGAAAATAACCAGAAAAAAAAGAGGAAAGAAAAGAAAAACAACCGAAATAAAACAGGAGAAAACTGAAAACAACTGGGAAAACAGGAACACACACTAGAAAAAAACAGAATGGAAAGAAGGGAACCGGGAACAGAGAATTGCAGTTTATGACTAACAATGTTCCAATATGTACAGTTTTACTTTACATGGGTTGGTAGAGAATTAACAAAATAAATTAATGCTCTTTTTACATTATTTTGAATATGTGATCCTATATGGGAAAAAACGTTCCTCCCAATTCTTACTGAAGAACAGGGGGAAAGGAAATGATTATAAAATGGTGTGGGAAAACGGAAACAGTGTTGAATGTCATGATATTATTATCCGGTGTGACCATGTCTGCCAACTGTCAGCTTTACAACCCAAATATGGGCAGACAGCTATACAATGAGACAGACAGACAGACAGATACATATACCAGGTTAAAGACAGCTGTACAAAGAGACAAACAGCTAAACTCCGCTAAAAAAAAAAAATCATGACAGAGTGAGCGATCACGTTTTAACCCCATTATTCACCCATTCAATGTAATTTTTTCACATCATCATCACTTTAAAAAAATGAATGTTATAAATCTGTGCTATTTGATAGGTATTGGAAAATATTTTAATATTCACATTTAATCTTCTTCTCGAGTGAACAAGAAAATTGAATAATAATTTCAGATTTGATATTGATACCCAGGATACAGTAGATAAGATTGCGATGGGGGGGGGGGGTTGGCGAGAGATATTTCAATAGAGAAAATAAAAAGATTTTTTTCGAAATAAAGAGGGAAGAATTATTTGGTAATTGATCTAGAAAATTGAAAGTATTACAAAGATCTTGAAAGAAAAAAGGTGTGGGGGGGGAGGTTTTTTTTGTAGATTTGAAGATGATGCAACAAAATGGGAAAGGTGTGGGGGGGGAGGTTTTTTTGTAGATTTGAAGAGGATGCAACAAAATGGGAAAGGTGTGGGGGGGGAGGTTTTTTTGTAGATTTGAAGAGGATGCAACAAAATGGGAAAGAGTTATTATTAAATTTGTTTTAAATGGAGAGACATATTTGTAAACTGTAAAATAAACTGGGGGGGGGGGGGAATTATTTGTAAATTTAAAAGAAATGTCGTTGGAACTGTAGGTAAAACTCCATTTTAAAAATAGCATTAACAGATTTACAATAATACTACCCGTATCAATAATCTGATCATTAATGTGAAAATACTGGCGGTTTTCTAGCTCGGAAATTCTTTTAATTTCTTCTTCGCTTCTGATTCAATAATAGCACAAGACACTTTTGAGAAGAGACCCCACAAATGAAAATTATCAGTTTTTTTAAAACACAAACTTGATTAGATAAAGCTCTCAAGGGTACCGTTGTGAATCGAACATTAAGATCCCTTTAAATGAATAAGACAGCTGACAATTTACCTGGGAAGACGATGGATATAACAGTTCCAACGAGAACTCCATTTAAGGGAGCTGCTCCATTCATCACCATATCCCAGGGGTGGAGCCCCAGCAGCAGCTCTAGATAGATAGATAGATATTTATATAGATAGATAGTTTTCCCAGGGGTGGAGTCCCCGCAGCTGCTCTAGATAGATAGATAGATAGATAGATATCTCAGGGGTGGAGCCCCAGCAGCTTCCCTAGATAGTTAGATAGATATCCGAGGGGTGGAGTCCACCGCAGCTGCTCTAGATAGATAGATAGATAGATAGATATCCCAGGGGTAGAGTCCCCATAGCTGCTCTAGATAGATAGATAGCTAGATATCCCAGGGGTGGAGTCCCCACAGCTGCTGTAGATAGATAGATAGATAGATAGATAACCCAGGGGTGGAGTCCCCACAGCTGCTCTAGATAGATACATAAATAGATATCCCAGGGGTGGAGTCCCCGCAGCTGCTCTAGATAGATAGATAAATAGATATCCCAGGGGTGGAGTCCCCACAGCTACTCTAGATAGATAGATAGATAGATATCCCAGGGGTGGAGTCCCTGCAGCTGCTCTTGATAGATAGATGCATGGTATGAAGTTTCACAATGGCATTTTTCCAAAGGTAACTTACTAAAGGACGTCAAAGGGATTTTATAATTTCCCTAAAGACAATTTTCCTAAATTTTTCAAATGGCTATCCCAAATAACACATTCCCAAGTGTTCCCAAAAGAACCATTTTCCAAACAACTTTCCTTGTTAAAATACCCCTAATTCCAAATTAATATTTTCCAAAATGACAATGTAAAAAGGAACAATTTTCATAATGACAATTTCTCATATTGACAATTTCCCAAACTACAGTTTTCTAAATCAAAGTTTTGAAAATTTCCAGTGACAGTTTTCGAATTTCCCCGAAATGATTAAACATTCACCTGTTATTGTTGCAACGCTACCTCCAAGAACACATCCTAATCCAACCTAGAGAATAACATGGTGAAACGTACTCTAGGTTAGAATTATTGCAGGTGTTCCAGGAAACATTATAGTTTAGAGACGACTTCAATTGCTTTGATCTTTGAAAGAATTTGCGGCATTCATCATCGTACATCAACATGCGACCAGTATGATTCTTGAAACAAAAACCACTGTCCCCTAGTCCTGTCATTTTCAAAATGTGTTCTGCTTTAAAACAACTGTAATTATAAAGATTTGATTAGGTTTAGACAATTTCAGTTTTATTTATTAAATTGAAATCTAATGAAAATTCTCATATCTCCTGTAAATTTAAATGCTAAAAAGATTAACTGGTCGTTCAGTGGGACACCCTATATCAAGTTGAAATAATTTAAACATTAAAAAGTTTCTGGAAAATCTGACCTCCCAGTTTAGCATAAAGATGGCCAACAGTATGAAGAAGGCACAGAGAGGATTGTTCACAAAACATGGCTAAAATATAATAATATATTAAATTATTTCTATAATAACGGTTTGAGGTGTGCGTGTGAGAAATCTAGGTTTCTGTTTTCAAAAAACGGAAACAGCACGTGTGCTACAATCTATACTAGGAACAATGCAGGCCTGAGGCCTACCTTGTTTTTGTTTCTATTTAGGCTGCAGACATTTTAAAATACAAATACAGTGTGAACCGTAATAATATGGAATTGGAGTAGGAGTAGGAGGGGAATAAAGCATATATCATTTAAAGGGACAGACCGACTATGTAAGGTAGTTGAACTAAGTATGCAGTGTTGCAGACTAATTATTTTGGATTCATTTTAGATATATAAAACTTTTTAAAGATCTGTAAATCCTGAGTTTGAGCGCAAAGTCGACGTTCAAAATCGTACTTTTAGTTGGATACGTTTTCAGAATATTTTTTTTTTAATTATTAAATAACAACGACATAAAATGTAAACAAAATTCTACAGTAAACTAATTTGTTGTTTAGGAACAGGTTGAGAAAATAAAAATTAATCTTATTTTCGAAAATAAGTAATCTTGTTCAATTATTAGTTTCTATTTTCTCATTATTCTAGTTTCTCATTTGTCACAAAGATTTTTTGCAGATTTTCTGGAATTATTATTGAAAAGACGATATTTGAAGAATTTGTAGAAATCTGCGTATAAATTCATAGAAAATAAGATATTCAATATAATGATGAAAATGAAATGATTGATTCTAGCATTGATTTACTGCAGACAAATTTCTTTTAAGAAATATATTCCTAAGCATCTAATTAGTTTACTGTATTTTTACTTTATTTTTCGTCGTCGTTATTCAATAATTTAAAAAACTCAATTCTGAAAACGTATCCATCCAAATTCATGATTTTGAACGTCGAATATGTACTCAAACTTGAGTCTAACAGTTGTCTTCCTATTCCAGATTGTTTATGTCCTACTCGACTGTATTTTAATAATTTTGGTTTTTAAAAGAAAAAAAGCTTAACCCATATAAATCTAGATTGCCATAAAAATTAGTTTAAATTGGCAAGATTTTGTCGACTTTGAAGTGTCGCAACGCTTTTAGCTTTGATTTACTATTGTGTAACCCCTTATGATAATGAATTGGCTGGATTAGTTGATAAGACAATCTGAAAAACTGACCTAGCTGATATCCTTGTCATGTTTTCAACTCTTTAAATAAAAAATTTTCTACCCCTGATTCTATAACTGTAATTAAATATCTTGAGAAGATCAGACATTATAAAGGAAATTAATTAGTTAAATTCACAACAAATTCCAAGTTTATTACCCGAACCATAAAACAATATATTCACAAGTGCTTCCATTTTTGAATTGTACATTCCGTTGTATTCGATTTTTTTGTTATTGATTTAAAAAAATTCAATTCTTTAAAAGCATTTTTTTTTCATGTATAATAAGGAATTAGACACATTTCAAACCTTTTGCTTATTATTCTTATTTGTATATTTTACAGTACATTGTATACTGACCAGTCTAGATTTAATAATAGGATTTTACAATTGAATACACTGTACTCAAGGAATCGTTTATATATCCAAATCAGTTTAATCGGATTTCCGCATATTCAATTAAGGTAATATGGCTTGTACTCAGGATTGGAGAAGGAGGAGGGGGGGG